TTTTTATTCGACTAACTGTTTTGTCTACCAGCGAACTATTGATTTCTGCACTTAAAGTTGATGCTCCGGCTTTTATATTACGTCTGCTTACCGTGTAAAGCATGTTTTTACGTCTGCTGTCAGTTTTTTTGGATGCCCAGTACGAGGTTTATCATTGACACTACCAGTTAATAAATAATTTTTTATTGCTTTACAAATGCTGAGTTCAGAAATATTTAGGCGTCTGCCAATTTCTCTATTGTTTATTTTCATTTTATGCATTCCAATGACTTGCCATTTTGTTTTCGACAAAACAGCTTTATTACCCATGAAAATATGATATTTTGACAAAGTTGGATCAGTTGAAAAATGCTGGATTTTGAATCAAATCATAGTTGGGGTTTTTAAAAAAATAAAATAAGAATAGAGATCCAAATTAAATATATTAACGTTAACAGGCGGTTGAGTGATAAAAATGCAAAAGACTTCAATAATCTCTTAATAAATGAGTGTTATGTGTTTTCTTATCACAGTGCGTTTAAAGTTTATATAAATAAATTAAAAGGAGTTAATTGCTCCATTAATTTTCTCATCACACCTACCTATGTTATAATATCCATACAATTTTTTTTCTATCTTAACTAATAAATTATAGCTATAGTATAAATAAACATAAAAATACAGAGCACATCTCATCAATTTATCGGGTTATCATTTCTTAAAAAGTATTATATACGTTAAAAAAACAAGTGCATTTAAACTTTCTGTACAAGATATATATATATATATATATATATATATATATATATATATATATATATATATATATATATATATATATATATATATATATATATATATATATATACAATCCTCGGAATTAAGAAAAATGAGGTCAGCAAATTATTGCCGATCTCAATCTTTTTGAGGTCAGCATCAGATTGGCAAAAATTATTTGATACAAAGGTCTGACCATATAACATAGAAACAAGGTCGGCAATTTTTTAACAGATTCAAAAACCTGCATAAAAATTTATGTAACTTGGGGTAAAGATAATGTTTGTTGAGTTCTAAATTTTTAGTTTTTAGTCTTTGAAAATTGCGTCATGGAAGTAAATATAGTTCAAACAGTAAACTATTTTATTACAATAACACACATAGGCAGATTAAAGTTTATTACAGAAATTTCTCAGAAATTTGGGCTCTATGTTGATGACGTTTTTTTGAAGAAATAATTTAACTTTCACAAGAGACCTTTAGCACACTTCTTTGTGTAATCAATGTCTAATAGACAATAGTTCCAAATATCACAATTACTATTTAATGCAAATTTAAAAGTGGCATTAAATGGTTATTGCCTGAAATGTTTGGAAAGTGTCTTTCCAAACACTTCAGGCAATCACCATTTAATGCAAATTTTACCTTCTTTTTAATTGCATGAGTCAAAAGTATATATTTCAAGCAATAGATAACTCTTGAATTCTATTGTGCATTTGAAAGTCCTGGTTTAGAAAAATGAATTGCAGGTAAATTCATTGTGTCTCGATAAGACTTGTATCCTTTACATAACAAATCCAGCTCAGTATAACCTTTCCTGGCTTATTTTTTACTTTTAATAACTGGCTGTTAGGCTTGTATTTTTCAGTTAAACAATGGTAGTTACTAATTAACTCATTAATGAACCAGTAATTAATATTAGATGATGTTGATAAGGAATCAAATTTTTATTTCATTAAATGCTTAAGAATCAGGTTGAGAGTCAACAAGGATGGTACACTAAACCTGAAATAATTTTTGTCAAACGCTTAACTACTCCATTTCTAGAACCTGTATTTACTGCATGGTGTCACATATCACAACACAAATTTTATTTAACAAATTAAATTCCAAAATAATATTGTGTAACAAGTTATAAATAGAAACAGAGTTGTAGAAAAGTATTTGAACACCTATTAAGTCGTATTCAAAAATGTGGTGGTTTTGTCGGCATATGGGGATGTATATCAGGCTCAGGCTTTGGCTGTCATAAAATATATGAAGGAAGACTAAACCAGTATGAGTATCCTGACATTTTGGAAAACGCGCTTATCACTAGTTGCGATTTGTTCCAGGCTGATCAAAACTGGTTATTTTAACAAGACAATGCTCTATGCCATACAGCACATTCAATCACTGATTATTTCCTTAAAAGTAATGCTTGACTTATGCCTTGGCCAGCACAATCATCAGACTTAAACCCGATTGAAAAGTTAAGGAGCTCGATGAATTATCAACTGGTTATTTCAACAAGACAATACTTCATGCTGTACAGCGCTTTCAATCACTGATTATTTCCTTATATATATATATATATATATATATATATATATATATATATATATATATATATATATATATATATATATATATATATATATATATATATATATATATATATATATATGTATGTATGTATGTATGTATGTATGTATATGTATATATATATATATATATATATATATATATATATATATATATATATATATATATATATGTGTATATATATATATATATATATATATATATGTGTATATATATATATATATATATATATATATATATATATATATATATATATATATATATATATATATATATTTATTTGAAATGAAATACAAAAGTAAAAAAAAAAAAGTATAAGAGAGAGAAAATATTTTAAAATGATGATCAACAAAAAGATGATCAACATTACTATTTGTAAAAGTTGTTAAAATATTATGAATTTAATTTCCAGACATGTTATCTAACTACAAAAGTTTTTCTACAATCAATCTTACTGAAATGAAATTTTACAATCAAATTTACTGAAATGTCCAGGACCAAAGCTAGGCAACATTACACATGGACACTGTAATATAATATGATTTAAAATAACTAAACTTTTTTCTTCACTCACCACTCTAAACTTCAACCACCACTCTAAACTTTAGAGTAATTGTACCACTTCAACCACCACTCTAAATTTAACTACACTAAAATTTATTAAGAAAATCTAAGGTCATTTAAAAGTAGCATAATTGGGCACAAGTACTTAAAATCTATGGTTGTATGTTACATTCGTATAAGAATAAGCAGTTCAACTAAATATTCCAATCAAAACATTAAATCAAAACATTGATTAAAGCATATAATAATAGAAAATTGTTTGACTTGTGCATTGTGCATGTTGTTCATAGTAAAAAGTTTGACTCATTGTGGATGGTACATTGTGCATGGTACAAATTTTGTATAGCAGCTAAGATTTCAAACGCAACAGCAAATAGCATAAATGACAAAAAAATGGAATATCAAAAAATATACTCAAAATTATTTAAGCATATCAAGAATAAAAAAATGAGATTCGAATTGTTATTAATTATCAAGATTAAAAATGAACCTAAAAACTTTATTATGCTAAATCAAAATAAAAGTTAAACTTGAACATAAATTTGTTGCAAGAAAAATACGGCAACTTAAACAACAACAAAAAGGCAATAGCTAACATATTTAACGAACACTTTCGATCGGTCTTCACAAATGACGTAAGTAATGAACTTCCTGAATTTGAGAGCAGTTCCAAGTCAAACAAATAATAACATATGGCTTTTTTGTGAAATATTGCACAAACTAGAGAAGTAAAACATTTTAAAATTGATCAAAATTGATGATGTAAATCCATGCATTCTAAAAAACTGTCCCATATCATTTTGTTTTCCACTAAATATAATCTTCATAAAAAACTTTAATTTAAGTTTATTACCAAAACAACCAAGGCAAACAAACATAACTCCACTACACAAAAGCAATAATCAACATATTGCAAGTAGTTTTAGGCCAATTTTGCTCACATTTGTCATAAATGAAATAATGGAAAGTATAATTTGATTCCAGATGAACCATTTAATAACTTGTAACCTTATCATCTCCCAACAGCTTGGTTTCATCTCCCAATGGTTAGGTTCCAAAAAAGCTTTGTTTAAACAATTTGCTAAAGTGTCTAAACTTTGTTGGTACAGCTTTACATAATAAATATCCATTCAAGATTTACCTCACTGAACTTGCAAAAGCATTTGACACTTCATATAAATATATATTTATATTAATCCATAAAATTGTTTATGCTGTTTTAATGTATTTGCTGTATTGATAAAATTATTCTTAAGTAAAAGTTTTGAATTCTACACTAAATCTCAATTGCTAAAATACCATATAAAGCCTTTGTTTGACTCATTCTCAAGCACCAATTGGGATTCTATCAAATAAATATGATATATCAGCTCTTGAAAAAGTTCAAAGAAAAAGCAACTCAAATTAGAAACCTTTCACATCTAAGATATAGATCACAATTTAAAAAATATAGTATTACAATAGTAAAAACTTACAGATTAAGTGAAGATCTAATCGAGGGCTTTAAATTGTTAATACTTGTTAAATGGTGTATATACATGACAAAATTAATAATAAAACCTAAAGGGATTAATCTCTATACAAAAGAAGTCCTATTTAATTCAAAAAGAAACTAATAAAAGAATGCTGTTTATTATTAGAATACTTTATTCTTAACAGAATATCTCTACATCGGTTAATATGTTTAGACAAATACATTGGAGGTGAGTTTGATCCCCACCATGTTCTTATAGCACTGTGTTTAATTCGTTTTTCCCTGCAACAGTTTTTTTCGTCAAGGTTCCTGTTTTAGAGCAATAAAAAATTATTATCTCAAGTTTCTTATATATTGTATATTCTTATCTTTACTAGTTATCTTTTTGACAAACATAATAAAATCAAAAATTGTATTTGATAAATATCTATGTTTCTTAAATTAGACTGGCATCATTGATTCTAAATTAAAAAAAGTTTATTTAATGATTATTCTGAAATATTTGTTTTATTGTTATTCTGCAATGTTATATTGTTCTTCATTCTGATCAAATTATTTAATTTTTGATTAATTTGTAAATTTTATTTACGATAAAAATTTTTGATCATATTGTATATTTTAGCATGATATTTGGACAGAGTGGTGTTGGAAAGTCCTCGTTTATTAATCATTTGATTGGACGTGATTTATTGAAAACCAGTTGTGTTCAATCAGCAACAAAGTATTTTCTTTTTTTGTGTAAAACTTAATATTGAATTTATGAAGAAAAACTTAATTTTAGATGTATGAAAAAAAACTTAATTTTAGATATAAAAAAACTTTTTAAGATAAATAAATAAAAACAAATCGTAAATAAAAAAAATAACTTTAGTTAGTTTTACTAAAGTGATAAATTTAAAATGTCTCTAACACAGATGACAATCGCATGATATTTCTCCCAGAGGTTTTTGTATTTATAGTCATAATAAAATTTAGGCCCATTAAGAATACCCTTATGATATAATTGGTAGGTGAGAAAAATTATTTTAATTAATTGAAAACAAGATTTTAAATCTTGTTTTCAAGGAACTTTTTACCAAAATAGTAAAATGCAAATTGTTACTGCAACCAATAGCACTGCTGTTTTTATAATACAAATAAGCAAATACAGGTAAAAACTTTTATTATTTGTTTAAATATAAATAACACAAAAATCTATATAATAATACCATGGCCTACTTTATAGAAGGCCTCGACATCGTGCGGGAATTTTTTTGACTGAAGGCCGATTTAAAAATAAAATGGCGGTTTATTAAAAGAGAAAAATGCTGTACAGCTTTGCTAACACTAATTATTTAATAACTAATTATTCTATTTGAAAAAATTTTGGATTCATTTTTATAAAATGATTTTCTTGACGTTAATTTGACAACTCTTAAGCTAAAATAGTTTGTAAAGTTGAATAGAAACATTTTAAATCAAATTTTAGAATATACAAGAAATAATAAATAATCAGAAAAATACACCAATAACAAATCTAATTTTTTTTGTACTAAATCTTCCCAAAAAAAATTACATAAGCTTGATTTCTTTTAATTTTGCTTGTTTATTACTCTTGGGAGTGTGAAGTAATGCAAAGTTCTTTAAAAAAAATGTTTGCTAGTGTTAGGCATTTTTTCTTTGCAATAGAAAAACTATACAACTCTGCAATAAAAGCAAACTGTCGTATCAGAAATGTTCTGCAAAATTTTTTTTATCTAATAAAGAAAAAAATATGTAACAAAATAAAGACCACTGAGGTAGAGTATCAGATGGAATAGTTAATCCTCCCCTATTTAAAGTATTCAAATAAGTTCTATATTTTTCATAATATGTAGTTGTATCTTCACCAATTTCTTCAGTAGAACACTTTTGAACATAACCAGCAATATAGACAATAGCATAAAAAATTTCTATATTTATACTATCTTCTAGATCTGGTAAATTGTAAATTATATCAATTTCCATATCATCTAAATCTTTAAGACATAAAAGACAGTCATGGCCATCATTTCCTTCTACTTCGATATTCAGCTGTAGCACCAGCTTAGCATGTTGAATACTTACTTTTTCGATAACTGATTTAGCAGTTATAAAGTATGTACCACCAGAACCTTGCCGTAGTTTTCCGAAACATTTCTCAATTGGATCACTAGAAAACCAACCTAAAATAACATACTCATTTCCACTTGATAAAAGATGACAAGACAAATCAATTAGTCCACGACAAGTGTGTGAAAGTGCATTGGTTGTATCTCTCGTAAGCTGGCAAATTTGTTTACCAGATGTTGGTTTCATATATTCTGCCATTGTTGCAATACCAAGTAACTTTTTTAAATTAATGTCATCTGAAGATCTGATTACATTACGTGACTCATCCCTAAATCTAGCATTGGCACCTGGGCATTTAACATTCACTATTTTCCAAAATTCTATAATCAACTCCAAAAAAATAATAGTACCCTTGACACTTTCTTGGTCTATTTTAGGATGAGTTTTTAGAGCTACAACTGTCTCTTCACTAAATACTTGTAAACAAGTGCTTACTTTTTGCCGTTCTATTGGTTTAGGATTTATTGATGTTTCAGTCAATCTGGATAACTTTATTAATTGGTTTTTTTCAAGTGTATATAAGTTAACTAAATCTCTCCAATTTGCAATGTAAGTTATCTTATTTTGAGTAAACTGTAACTGACCTAGTTTTTCTGTCAGCCAATTGTTTCTTATGCACTTTAAAAGATGGACATAGTCATATAAAATATAAGAGCCATTTTGACATAACCAAGGTTTTCCGTCTACGGTTTTGAATTTAGAAAAAAAGCTTTGATTAACTTTATTTCCATCTGTAATAATTGCAATAACTTTACCATTACTCATAGAACTTTCTATGGTGTCTACAATTAATTTGCACTGTTCTTGTTGGAAATCTGATGTCAGATTACTAACTGGTAAAACTCTTGCTAGAAATTCAGGTAAACCATAAAGGCTTTTTACCATGAATGAAAGTACAGTAGTAGCTAATTTCTCTGGATTATTAACAGCTTTTCCAAAAATACTTCCACTTTGATATAATAATGCTGCTTTTACATAAACTTCATCTATCAATAAAACACAATTTCTTTTTTTTTCATCAAGGTTCGATAACACAGAACTTAAAAAAGTTAAATCATCTTGAAAGTTTATTTTTGAAGTTATGCGTGTCAAAGTTCGACTACTTGGCAACTGATAATCATAACATAATCGATGGTAAGTGGAACGACTTGTTGCAAAATATTCAAAAGCTCTGGTTATTATATCTGGAGAATACACAGCACAGCCAACAGTATGCTCTCCCATTACATTTAAATGCTCAAACATTACTTGAGTTTTATGATCCTTATCTTCAACTTTCAGATATCTAAGGGCTTCATTTAAAGATGACTTTGTACAAAGGGAAGTGATTCTGTTATTTGCCAGAGATTTAATAGTACATTTTGAACCAAAATGAAATGCTTCAAACGACAAACTTTGATTAATTATTAACAAAAATAGTGGAACACCACAATTAAATATTTTAGATTGGATGAAAATTAAATTATTTTGCTTGTATGAAATCAAATCATTATAAGTTGAGTGTTTTTCGATTTCTTCAAAATTTAAATTATCAATTATTTTATATTCTTCTAATTCATCTTTTCTAATACCTCTTTTTGAAGAAGAAGATAAAGTCTTTCTCGTTTTAGGTGGTGGAGAGGATAGACAACTTTTAGATATATTTGGAAACACTGATGGAGGATGATTTGGTCTCAATTTACCACGACATAATTTAAACTCTGCATCATCTGGCCAATGCAGTTTACAAACAACGGTGTATTTTGTTACGGTCCAATTTAATTGAGGGATGCTCATAAACCATTTAGTTTTTTCACACACTTCACAAGGGAATTTATACACAGATACATTACAAGCTGAAGACTTATAATTTGAGGAACAGTTTGGAACACAACATTTTAAAGGCATTCTAAATAATTTAAATTAAATTTACTTGAAGAATAGCTGTAAATTTTTCTGAAAAAACGTAACTAATATTTTACTCCTTTTCCAACCAAAAAATGCGTTTGTAACAGTTTTCGGCCTTCAGTCAAAAAAATTCCCGCACGGTGTCAAGGCCTCCTATAAAGTAGGCCATGAATAATACTAAACATAGTAGTAGTAGCAGTAGTAGTAGTAGTAGTAGTAGTAGTAGTAGTAGTAGTAGTAGTAGTAGTAGTAGTAGTAGTAGTAGTAGTAGTAGTAGTAGTAGTAGTAGTAGTAGTAGTAGTAGTAGTAGTAGTAGTAATGACTGCCAAGAGTTCTGTTTGACACAGAACTCTTGGCAGCCATTGCAACCGAGGTAATGGCAAGAAAGAGTTGCAGCTTTGTTTTATAAGAAAATGTGATAGAAATATCTAACATACGTAAACTTCAAATTATGTAATGTTAAAACATACTAAAACATTTATCAAGTTTTATTTTCGCTTGAAAATTGCATTGTGACAACCTCTCATTAATTTTTGTTAGAAAAAATTTTATACAGTTTTAAAATTTCAATCAACAAAGTACCAGCATGGCCGAATGGTTAGCACACTGAGCTTCTGATCAAAAAAGCTGTGGTTCGAGTCCGACCACCGGCAATTTTTTTTTTTTAATTTTTTTAGATTTTTAAATACAAAATACTTGTTAAGTTTTATAAAGATTATATACAAACAATATTATACACTTAAATAAACAAAAAAATTTTCAAAAAAGTTAAAAATTCTAAAAACATTAATAAAAGATACTTTTGTTATTTTCGTTTTAACATTTCAAGTTTTTTTCCAACTGTTTTCTTGCAAAAATTGAGTTTGCAAGAAAAATGAATATACAACATGTTTATATATAGAATATAAAATCTATAGAACTGTAAAGTTGTTTTGTTTTGCATTTTAAATAACAAAAGTTAAAAAATAAAGCAAGCTGATGATTTGAACTTGCCACCTGGCAACCATGACATTTTTACAACAGTAAGGGGGTTTTAAAAGTATGTTTTATATAAGAACATAATTAAAAATTCTAATTTTATACTTAAATTAAACCATATTATCAAATTAAATACTTTTAAAAATGATTAAAAGTTAAAGTTATTTAATATTGATACAATAAAGAAATTTAGAGTTTTACAGGTATTTTACCACGCATGCGTTAAACATTCAAAACCGAGTGCGTAACAATGACAGAGTTTATATAAATATTAAAAAAGAATTATACTCTATTATTTTTTGGGTTTTTGCCTGATACCTAAACTTTTAAATAAGGAATAGTCCTTAAATTACGCAACATTAAGTTTCACTAATGAAAAAACATCAAAAAAAGATTAAAATTTTCCCTCACAGAGTCGTACGTTTAATAAAAAATCAAAATAGCTAATCAAGTTTAATGAAAATCATCACCTAAAAGAACTGAAGATCTCTTTCTTTTAAAAAAATAAATTTAGCGTTCCGTAATTTATGGACGATCCCTTAGCGTTTAATAGTCTATAGAATGTTATAAGATCTAAGTTCTTATATTTGTATAGCATTGCATAAAAATGTCTGTAAAAGTATAGGTCTTTAGCATATGTTAAGTTTGCAGGCAGTATATGGAACAATCGTATATAATAAATCTATAAAAATAAGAAAACTTTATTTTAAATTTAATTGTTAAAAT